AATTTGTGCACAGAAATCTTAGCATATATATGGAAAAAGCAAACATAGTTTCAATCTATAAAATTGGTAGCTGAGAAGAACCTCTAAATTATAGACTTGTATCATTAACAAGCATGATAGTCAAAACACTAGAAAAAATAGTTAAAACCAAATGGGTTGAACACTATTGAATGACATAATAACACAGGCAGTATATTTTTTGTACAGAAACATCCTGTGTAACAAATATACAGTACAGTACTTAGTTTTTACGATAGACCCACAGAGATTCTGCAAGAGGTGGTTGGGGTGACTGTATCTTGACCTAAAAGATACTTTTGACAGTCCCCGCACAAGGGACTGTTGTGGAAACTGGAATATGCTGGAGGGGTGACGGGGAGACTTCTGACATGGATGAAATTTTTTTTTAACCAACAGACAGACGAGGGCAGTAATCAGTGACAATGTACAGTATCTGACTGGAGGAGTACTAGCCGAGTACCACAGGGTTCAGTTCTTGAACAAGTAATGTTCATCATCTACATTAATGATCTACCAGAAGGAATACAGAATTGTATGAAAATGTTAGGGGATGATGCTAAGATACTCGGGAAGATAGGAAACGCATGCAATTGTCATGCCCTTCAAATTGATCTAGATAAAGTAAATGCTTAGTGTCAAGTGGCAAATGGAATTCAGCGTGAATAAATGCCACGTTATCGAATGTAGAAATGGAGAAAATAGACCACACACACAACTTACAAATTATGTGGAAAGGAATTACAAAACTACTAAAGAACAAGACCTAGGGGTGGTTTTGGATAGTAAACTCTCACCAGAGGAACATATAGAGAACATTGTGAGGAGTGTATGTGTCTCTTTCCAACTTCAGACTTACTTTTAATTATATGGATGGTGAAATACTAAAACTGTTCATGACTTTTTAAAAAGAGACCAAATCTGGAGTATGCAGCAGTTGCATGGTGCCCATATCTCAAGAAGCACGTAAATAAACTGGAAAAGGTGCAAAGGCATGCTACAAAATGGCTTCAAACAAGAAACAAAAAGGCATGGCAAAATGGCAAAAAAACTGAAAAACAAGATTTACGAGGGTAGACTAAAGGCGTCAAACATGCCAAAACTAGAAGATGGACGAAAGAGAGATGATATGACCACCACTTACAAAATACTAACAGGAATCAACCAAATTGACAAATAGGAATTCCTGAAACCAGTAACATCATGAACAAGAGGACACAGATTCAAGCTACGGAAACAAAGATGTCGAAAAAATATTAGAAAGTTTTCTTTCCCAAACAAAGTGGTAGACAGTTGGAAAAAGCCAAGAAAGAAAGTGATGGTGGTTATCTTGAGAGGATATCTTGAGATGATTTCGGGGCTTAGCATCCCCGCAACCCGGTCCTCGACCAGGCCTCCTTTTTGATACACACTTCCCGGGAAGCAGCCCGTAGCAGCTGTAACTCCCAGGTACCTATTTACTGCTAGGTAACAGGGGCATCAGAGTGAAAGAAACATTTTGCCCATTTGTCTCTGCCTCCACCGGTGATCGAACCCGGAACCTCAGGACTACGAATCCGAAGCACTGTCCACTTAGCTGTCAGGCATCAGGTGGAGGCCAAAACTGTCAATAGTTTCAAAGTATTATACGACAGAGTACTGGGAAGACTGGACACAACGAGCGTAGCTCTCATCCTCTAACAACACTAAGTAATTACACCACGAGCTCAGCTCTTAGTTTTATTTGTGTGTGCTTTTATTTCAGGTGTTAATTGCTCCATTTGTTCCAGCATCTCACGGTCATAGACTATTTTTATGAGACCAATAGTGCTAGAACACTACTGTAAATAGTACAAAGTGGGGTGAATGCCATGTGCAGCTCCCTGCAACCCCAACAATACCCTCCTCAAACATCCACCAAAGAATACAGAGTCGACAAAGAAGTTGAGTTGAGCACCCAGGCACCGGTTAAGTATGGCGATGATTTATAGTATTGTTAATTGATGTCAATTATATACTTGTGTCATTTACCTGTTAATTCCAGGGCTCATTTACACTGGGGTTTTTACCCCAAGCCAAGTAAATAATACAAGAATATATGGTGATTTATATTGTCCTGAACAATTCAGACAATTTCAGTGATAAAAATAAATATTGAAATTGATATCAATTTAATACATAAGGCTTGGTTATTATAATTTATTGATTGTGGATTGGAAACGTGCACTAATACGAATCAGTGATTTCGCTGAAGAAATTATATCTATTATATTATTACATTTTATAAATTGAGAATCTCTTGGTAGGTGGACAAAAGCAGCAATAGACCCCTGAAAGTGATCCTTCTCAGAGGCAAATTACTTGGGGGAAGACAGCATTAATACCACAACTGTGTGACCCTTTATTTGTTCTCTTTTCAGCACTACAATAACATGGATTTAATAATTTAAATAATTTTCATTTGATTAATTTGGTATAATTTTATAATTTATTTTATACTTTGAGTTTATTTTATTGGAAAATTAATTCAGGGAAAAGATTGAAGAGGTAAAAATAATCCAGAGTGTGAGGAAGCAGGGAGTGGGTGTGAGGAAGCAGGGAGTGTGAGGAAGCAGGGAGTGTGAGGAAGCAGGGAGTGGGTATGAGGAAGCAGGGAGTGAGTGTGAGGAAGCAGGGAGTGTGAGGAAGCAGGGAGTGGGTATGAGGAAGCAGGGAGTGGGTGTGAGGAAGCAGGGAGTGGGTGTGAGGAAGCAGGGAGTGCGTGTGAGGAAGCAGGGAGTGGGTGTGAGGAAGCAGGGAGTGGGTGTGAGGAAGCAGGGAGTGGGTGTGAGGAAGCAGGGAGTGGGTGTGAGGAAGCAGGGAGTGGGTGTGAGGAAGCAGGGAGTGCGTGTGAGGAAGCAGGGAGTGCGTGTGAGGAAGCAGGGAGTGCGTGTGAGGAAGCAGGGAGTGGGAGTGAGGAAACAGGGAGTGTGAGGAAGCAGGGAGTGAGTGTGAGGAAGCAGGGAGTGTGAGGAAGCAGGGAGTGTGAGGAAGCAGGGAGTGTGAGGAAGCAGGGAGTGTGAGGAAGCAGGGAGTGAGTGTGAGGAAGCAGGGAGTGGGTGTGAGGAAGCAGGGAGTGTGAGGAAGCAGGGAGTGTGAGGAAGCAGGGAGTGAGTGTGAGGAAGCAGGGAGTGAGTGTGAGGAAGCAGGGAGTGGGTGTGAGGAAGCAGGGAGTGGGTGTGAGGAAGCAGGGAGTGGGTGTGAGGAAGCAGGGAGTGAGTGTGAGGAAGCAGGGAGTGAGTGTGAGGAAGCAGGGAGTGAGTGTGAGGAAGCAGGGAGTGGGTGTGAGGAAGCAGGGAGTAGGTGTGAGGAAGCAGAGAGTGAGTGTGAGGAAGCAGGGAGTGGGTGTGAGGAAGCAGGGAGTGGGTGTGAGGAAGCAGGGAGTGGGTGTGAGGAAGCAGGGAGTGGGTGTGAGGAAGCAGGGAGTGGGTGTGAGGAAGCAGAGTGTGAGGAAGCAGGGAGTGGGTGTGAGGAAGCAGGGAGTGGGTGTGAGGAAGCAGGGAGTGGGTGAGGAAGCAGGGAGTGGGTGTGAGGAAGCAGGGAGTGGGTGTGAGGAAGCAGGGAGTGGGTGTGAGGAAGCAGGGAGTGGGTGTGAGGAAGCAGGGAGTGGGTGTGAGGAAGCAGGGAGTGGGTGTGAGGAAGCAGGGAGTGAGTGTGAGGAAGCAGGGAGTGAGTGTGAGGAAGCAGGGAGTGGGTGTGAGGAAGCAGGGAGTGGGTGTGAGGAAGCAGGGAGTGTGAGGAAGCAGGGAGTGAGTGTGAGGAAGCAGGGAGTGAGTGTGAGGAAGCAGGGAGTGGGTGTGAGGAAGCAGGGAGTGGGTGTGAGGAAGCAGGGAGTGGGTGTGAGGAAGCAGGGAGTGGGTGTGAGGAAGCAGGGAGTGGGTGTGAAGAAGCAGGGAGTGAGTGTGAGGAAGCAGGGAGTGAGTGTGAGGAAGCAGGGAGTGGGTGTGAGGAAGCAGGGAGTGAGTGTGAGGAAGCAGGGAGTGAGTGTGAGGAAGCAGGGAGTGAGTGTGAGGAAGCAGGGAGTGGGTGTGAGGAAGCAGAAAGTGAGTGTGAGGAAGCAGGGAGTGAGTGTGAGGAAGCAGGGAGTGGGTGTGAGGAAGCAGGGAGTGTGAGGAAGCAGGGAGTGTGAGGAAGCAGGGAGTGAGTGTGAGGAAGCAGGGAGTGGGTGTGAGGAAGCAGAAAGTGAGTGTGAGGAAGCAGGGAGTGAGTGTGAGGAAGCAGGGAGTGGGTGTGAGGAAGCAGGGAGTGTGAGGAAGCAGGGAGTGTGAGGAAGCAGGGAGTGAGTGTGAGGAAGCAGGGAGTGGGTGTGAGGAAGCAGGGAGTGTGAGGAAGCAGGGAGTGAGTGTGAGGAAGCAGGGAGTGGGTGTGAGGAAGCAGGGAGTGAGTGTGAGGAAGCAGGGAGTGGGTGTGAGGAAGCAGGGAGTGTGAGGAAGCAGGGAGTGTGAGGAAGCAGGGAGTGAGTGTGAGGAAGCAGGGAGTGGGTGTGAGGAAGCAGGGAGTGAGTGTGAGGAAGCAGGGAGTGAGTGTGAGGAAGCAGGGAGTGGGTGTGAGGAAGCAGGGAGTGAGTGTGAGGAAGCAGGGAGTGTGAGGAAGCAGGGAGTGAGTGTGAGGAAGCAGGGAGTGGGTGTGAGGAAGCAGGGAGTGGGTGTGAGGAAGCAGGGAGTGGGTGTGAGGAAGCAGGGAGTGAGTGTGAGGAAGCAGGGATTGAGTCAACACAGTATCATACACTTATTTACAGCTGTGCACCAACTGTGGTGATTTGAAGTATCCTTGTATCAATGGGGGAAAGCTTTTGTTTAGTAAGCATGGCTGACTTGTTACCTTATACTATCACAAGTAAACACCATATCTCATATTACTCTTCTCACCTTAAAATTACCCAATCCCTGTCACACTTTATATTAGTCTCAAATAATAAACTTCAGAGCTTTCCAATGTTGCAAAAAAAAAAAATTAAAACTGACCTGGTTGTGTGTAAGTACTTGACCTTCCATCTGTGCCAACTGTTGCTCGACTGGGTCCAACCCTTCCACAACCTGTAAAATTCATTACAAGAGAAAATTATAGTAAACTAGAAATGTTTTTACAGCAGCCAATCAAAACAAGTAGCCCCAAAAAGGTATACCTCAACATACGAACAGATTAGTTTACAGGGTACAAAGATGAAATGACTACCGAGTGCCAAAAGGATTAAAGTACAGAGATATAATGAGTTTCAATTTATAGAGTAATGAGCATGAGGTACTGTAATGAGGACATGAGGAAAGGGGAAGTGATGGTGAAGGTTGTAACGGTGGATGCACCTTTGGTGGAAGTGGTAATGGTCATGGTAATGGTGGTGGTAGTATTGAGGACAATGATGGTTGTGCTTACCTATTAGTGACTACAAGGAAGCAGTCACTAATGGGTTTATCCTTTCTAGCCATTCTAACTGGCTCAATAATTCTCTCAACATTTTAATTGTTAGCGTATTTGTTCTAAAAATTGTGGGTAGAACTGACTTTACCAACCTCTTCCTTCAACGCATTCTACATACTAACTACCCACACAGGGAACGAGAACGTCTTTACATCTTTACAACACGACTGAGTGTAACTTTCAGTGATGTTCCCTTCTCATACATCCTCTTAATTTAGGTTGGCTTTTTAAGTCCATATTGTCTATTCCCCTCAGGATCTTGTATGTAGTGATCGTATCCCTGTATTTATTTTCATCTCCTTAAAGTTGTTAAGGTGAGCGTGTTCTTGTCACGGGGGGTGGGCCGGGGCTCTGCTAGCACTCAGCTGCTAGGGGCTCAAAGGTCCGAATACTCAGCCCCTCTGACTCCCGGGATTCACCGGAGTCTCCTTGGTCACACAGGAGAGGACCAACAATGCCCTCCTCTGCAGGTCTTTGCTTCCACCACAGAAGGGGGGTGCCACTGATTCACCCTGGAAGCCCTTCAGTCAAACACAGGGAAACTGCTGTTAACAGTTCCGGCCTAGACCCGTGGAGGAGTGAAGGAAGACTCAGGCTTACCTTATAACAATAACCTCCCTGAGTCTTGCCTGCCAGACAAAAAGGTTGCAGGAAGTCCTTTCCCACCTGTCTTCTCTATCTTCTTCTTAACAAGGTCGCCAGCTGGGTTATTATATTTGCACCCCAGAGATGCAGTTCAGTGGGAGTATTATATATTGTTTGTTGCCAGAAGGTTGCTACTCCCATAGATCTGCTATTAGACTGTCGGCCCAGGGTACTCGCCCAGGAAGGTCTGTGCGGCTTTACCTCTCTCTAGCCACAAACTCCCGAACCGTGATGTGAGCCCGACGGACGGACAGACCCCACCATCCCCGGCCAATCTGGTGAGCACTGGTCACAAAGCCCCAGCCGAGAGATGACCCGTCCGTAAACACATAGAGCGAAGGCTCGGGGAGGTGCCAAGGCACGGAACCCCGAAAACCCCAAAGAGGAAGCTGGTGACGCAGCACCAACACAAGATCCCCGGAGGACCGAACCCAATGATTGCAAGAGAGGCAGAAGGGGAGTCTCCGAAGGAACCAAACAGACGCCGAAGCCAAACCTGACCCCGCGGGCAGACCAGCACGTCGAAGTTCAGACTCCCGCACAACTGCTCAAGCAACCGCCGAGCAACCTGGGACCCCCTCATGAACAGCCGAAGGCAGGACTACAGCCACAGCAACACTTCTGGAGGAAAAGACAAGGAGCAGCCCAAGAGCCCTAAACAAGACCCAACCAGGTCCGAACCCAGGACGGAAACAGATGGAACGGCCTCCAGATCACCAGGAAACCAAACCCGGCGATCTGGAAAGAACCACACCCCTGGTGAGCAGACAAGCGGACCGTTATCTTGGTTATCTTGAGATGATTTCGGGGCTTTTTAGTGTCCCCGTGGCCCGGTCCTTGACCAGGCCACCATCCCCAGGAAGCAGCCCGTGACAGCTGACTAACACCCAGGTACCTATTTTACTGCTAGGTAACGGGGGAATAGGATGAAAGAAACTCTGCCCATTGTTTCTCGCCGGCACCTGTGATAGAACCCAGGACCACAGGATCACAAGTCCAGCGTGCTGTCCGCTCGGCCGACCAGCTCCCCTCAGTCTGGCAGGGGTGGGAAGCCCGCCAGTAGCACCGACTAGAAGCCCTCACTAGCCAGTCGTCGAGGTAGGCCAGACACCGAATCCCAAGCAGACTCAGACAGGGCACCAAGATCCGGTAAAGATGCGTAAATACACCAAGTGCCAATTACAAAATAGGGAAGGCAACAAAAGCAGCAAGCCTGAAGCCCCGCCAACTGTGCCAGTCCCGGAAAACTAGATAGGAACGTGTCAAGAATTGACCTGGAGGTCCAGGGCCACCATCCAGGCACCCGGCCCTTACAGAAGCCGCACAGGAGACAACAGTCCTCCGATGAGGGCATAGAATCCAGGGCGTAGACTGAAGAAGTCCAGAAGAACCGCAGATTCGACAGTCCCATATCTGCACAGAGCAGACGGGAACCCCAGAAGGATGGGGCGGATCGACCACGTCCAACGCACCCACTAAGATGACATGACGAAGCGCAGGGAAAGAAGCCCATCCCGCCAGCCCTAAACCCCCCAAAGGGGAAGAAGCCGTCCACCGCTGCCACCAGAGCCAGAAGACAACCAAAAGCGCCCACCAACAGCGGGACCATACGAGTCAACAGAGCAAGCTGCTTCCCCAGAACCCCGTCAACAGAGAAGGGAACAGAGTCCCTTCCGAAAGAAAAAGTATACATACACATATATACCTATATATTATGTATATACACATGCATAAATACACGCACACACAAGGCATGTTACACACACACAAGGCATGTTAGATAGTAAACGTGAAGGTCTTATAACAATAATGAGAGAGATTATAGCGAGAGCGGATAACGATAGATCACGACTGTTGATAGTCGGTGACTTCAACTTGAAATCCATAGACTGGGAAGCATATGAAGCTAAAACAGAAGATTTTTGGACCTGTAAATTTGTAGACCTCATCCTGGAAACATTCTTGTATCAACATGTTAAACAAGCTACGAGGATGAGGGAAGGGGACGTTCCCTCCATGCTAGATTTGATATTTACCAGGAAGGAGGAAGAGATATTTGACATTCAGTACCTTCCTCCCTTGGGTAAAAGTGACCATGTCTTTTTGGGAATAAAGTATGCAATGCGTTATAAGCTGGAAGAAAATAAGGAGGTTGAAGCAGATGAAAAACCAGACTTCAGGAGAGGACATTATGGTGACCTTAGAAATTTTTTTAGTGAGTATAATTGGACAGACTTGATGCTAGGCAAGGAAGTGAATGAGATGTATGGCAAGTTTTGTGAAATATATGATAAAGGCACAAAAAAAATTTATACCAAAACAGAGATGCAGGACCAGAAAACAGGATTGGTTCGACAGAAATTGTGAGAGGGCAAGAGACCAAAAGACACAAAAATGGAATCAGTATAGGAAGAGGCCAAACCCCCAAACATACCAGCGATACAAAGATGCGAGAAACAATTATACAGCAGTAAGGAGAGAGGCAGAAAGAAATTTTGAAAAAGGGATAGCAGATAAATGTAAAACAGAACCGGGCCTATTCTACAAATTCATAAACAACAAATTGCAGGTAAAGGATAATATCCAGAGGTTGGAAATGGGAAACAGATTCACGGAAAATGAAAAGGAAATGTGTGAAACATTAAATGAAAAGTTCCAAAGTGTGTTTGTACAAAATGAAATCTTCAGAGAACCAGACACAATAAGAATTCCAGAGAACAACATAGAGCGGATAGAGGTGTCTAGAGATGAAGTGGAAAATATGCTAAAGGAGCTCGGGAGGAACAAAGCAGCTGGCCCAGATGGCGTTTCACCATGGGTTCTGAGAGAATGTGCATCTGAGCTCAGCATTCCACTTCACCTGATCTTTCAGGCATCCCTGTGTACAGGAATCGTAGCAGACGTGTGGAAACAGGCTAACATAGTTCCAATCTACAAAAGTGGCAGCAGGGAAGACCCCCTCAATTATAGACCTGTATCATTGACAAGTGTAATAGTGAAAGTATTGGAAAAGCTAATCAAAACTAAATGGGTAGAACACCTGGAGAGAAATGATATAATATCAGACAGACAGTATGGTTTTCGATCAGGAAGATCCTGTGTATCGAATTTACTCAGTTTCTATGATCGGGCCACAGAGATATTACAGGAAAGAGATGGCTGGGTTGACTGCATCTATCTGGACCTAAAAAAGGCTTTCGACAGAGTTCCACATAAGAGGTTGTTCTGGAAACTGGAAAATATTGGAGGGGTGACAGGTAAGCTTCTATCATGGATGAAAAATTTTCTGACTGATAGAAAAATGAGGGCAGTAATCAGAGGCAATGTATCGGAATGGAGAAATGTCACAAGTGGAGTACCACAGGGTTCAGTTCTTGCACCAGTGATGTTTATTGTGTACATAAATGATCTACCAGTTGGTATACAGAATTATATGAACATGTTTGCGGATGATGCTAAGATAATAGGAAGGATAAGAAATTTAGATGATTGTCATGCCCTTCAAGAAGACCTGGACAAAATAAGTATATGGAGCACCACTTGGCAAATGGAATTTAATGTTAATAAATGTCATGTTATGGAATGTGGAATAGGAGAACATAGACCCCACACAACCTATATATTATGTGAGAAATCTTTAAAGAATTCTGATAAAGAAAGAGATCTAGGAGTGGTTCTAGATAGAAAACTATCACCTGAGGACCACATTAAGAATATTGTGCAAGGAGCCTATGCAATGCTTTCTAACTTCAGAATTGCATTTAAATACATGGATGGCGATATACTAAAGAAATTGTTCATGACTTTTGTTAGGCCAAAGCTAGAATATGCAGCTGTTGTGTGGTGCCCATATCTTAAGAAGCACATCAACAAACTGGAAAAGGTGCAAAGACATGCTACTAAGTGGCTCCCAGAACTGAAGGGCAAGAGCTACGAGGAGAGGTTAGAAGCATTAAATATGCCAAAACTAGAA